GAGTCATTTGTAAATTGCAAAGCTGTTGGTGATTGGTTGATCCGCGCAAGACACTGTAGAGGCTTGTATGCGTTCATTAGTCTTTTCGACTATAAAAAAAACCATTTTCGGCGCTCAACAAAAGCTTTGAAGAGATTCCCAAAGTTTTTTTCGTACTCTACGCTTCTAAATAGTAGTACTGATGCAAAGAGTAGACTCGATCTGTCAGTCTAGCGTATCAAACGCTAAAATTGGGGTTGCGACAAAGGTCACTACGAAAGTTACTTTGTACAAATCTAGGTAATAGGAAAGAGTTGTGGGGAAAGAGCAAAGTTAGTCACATGGCTAGATCTAGGCCTTGTATACACTTAGCAACTTCTCCAAAAAGCCGTTATAGGCCCCGGACAGACTTCACGCGGTTTGATCGTCGCGACTCAATCGTCGACATTTCCATTCATTTTCATTTCACATTCAAAAATTTCGGGCTGGAAAAGTATCACAACCGAAATGCAAGTTGATCGGCATGGAATGATGTTGTAACAGTTGTCTCGTCGCGATTCAGTCGCGGCGATCAAATCGCGTGAAGTCTGTTCGGGGCCATACACGATCTGGCAATCTGCCAGATGTCTGCAAATCCACCGCGTGTGGAATTTATACGCATAGACGCATAGCTTTTGTAAGCATATGCATACCTGCTTACGAGTACGCGCACTAGGGAAGATTATGAACAAACGTAGCGATTAGATGGCGCGGCGACGAGTACGGCAGATCCCTTATGCTTTCCTGCTGAACTGCAGACCTTAGGTTTGATTTCTGCGGCAAAATTTTTGCACAAGTTCCAGCGTTAGGATGCTTCTCCTAGAGAAAGCCGCGCGACAAGCCTGCTCGAAAGGGCAGGCTTGTCGCGCGGCCTTTCCTGCCTCCTATCAACCGTTCAGACACGTCGTAAACACTCAAGTGAAGGCTCTGACGTTCCCGGAAGCGACGCGCGCAAGACCGATAGGTGGAATAGTAAGGGAAGGTCACCTTACAGCAAGGTAAGAGACGATTCAGATTCTTGCAGAATACGGTGAACGCCCCATCGACGTTGGTATAGTGTATGCCTCGGCCCAATTCCCACAGTTGCCTCCGCGACGCATACGCAATGCGCGCTCCGTTGACACTTCTCATTTTACTCATGAGCAAAAAGCATTTCTACGTGAAGATAGAAGTGAAAGAAGAAGTGAAACCCCTTTAATCTCAGCTGGAGAAAAGCCTTAGCAAGAAAAAACGTTTACTACTTTCACTAACAGTTTGTGATCAATCTCATGGATACTATGTAACATTTGATTCAACTGGCTTGGCACCATTAGGGCGGGGTTTTGTGATCTAATTGAGGCCGCTCGCGCTCGCGATGCACCTGCGTCTCTCTCGCGCGAGTGCTCTCTGATCATTACCTAGCCTTAATTAGGTCGAGAAGCCCCGCCTTTGCCAATGCCAAGCTAGTTGAATCAAATGGTAGTATGATACTACTGGGTGAATGAAGGGTGAAAATCATAGAAGTAACAGAGAGAGAGAGAGAGAGGATGAAACGTATTCCTTCTCTAATCATTAAAAAAACTGACAAGAAAAGCTTGTTTAGCCGAGTCTTTTTGAATAGAATTTACACCATATTGTAGGGCATAGCATGCTGATTTCAAACCTGCCTTCTTTATCTGCAGAACGTTTATGCACTAGGAGTTATGAGCGTTTCTAGAAAAAAAATGTTGCATTTTGGATGAAAAGAATTAAAATCTTACTAGCCCTGAACTAATCCAACAAAGTGTGATATATTTTTTATTTTAGGGTATTGTTTGAATAAAGTGCTCTGATGATTATGATTGCTTAACTGAAGAGCCAAAAAAAGTATTACGGCTATTTTTATCCTACTTGCATAATCTTTTTGCTCCAATAAGCTCTCATACTTCTCATTCATAAACGCTCTACAGATAAGTAAGGCAGATTTGGAATCAGCATTTTATGCCTTTTAACATGGTGTTCATCACATCTAAAAAGGCCACTTTGGCCACTAAACATGCATTCCTTGTCAGACTAGAGAAAACCAATCAGGCGCCACTATTGTAAGTTCCGAAGTTTAGGCTGTTGAATAAATCTATTCCCGCCGCCTACCCTCGCGATTCACGTAGTAGCGCATACTAGCATGCTACTGTAACCCTATAATTTCGCAGTATCTTCCAGCATAAGTAAGGAAAAAACTGTATCCTTCCCTAGGAGAAACGGTTTCGAGCGAAAATACCGCCACGCGGCGAAAAAGGCTTAGCAATGGCAATGATATAGAAACACAGATATATGGAATGCTCTAAAGGTAAGTTAATGAGGATGCGGCACAACCTTTCAAAAAAAAGGGGCCACCACAGCTTTTTCGGGATAGTGCTCCACCAACTTGCCTCCGAAGGTATTCTAGCAAACAAATTGTATAAAGTCTCATAGCCCAAATCTTGTAGTTTTTGTAGATAATTAGAGTTGAACTTTCTTCTTTCGTTTGTGCAATAGCTGCTGAAAGCATAACCATTGTGGCTAAAAATGGGCAAATGAGATTTTGACTGGCTCTTTTATATTAGGTCGTTCCGAAGTTCTTTCCGTTTTTTCATTCTATCATGAAAGCACGTGGAAAAAGATTGGGAAAAGCTTTAAGCACTACCCGACGCAGTTTTCTCCCCCCTTTTAACTTTCATACGATAATCGCGAAATTTCGAACCCATGGTTTTCCCTTGTCCAAATGGCAAATTTTTAGTACCTTTTTTTCGAGCTTTTGAAAGATTCGATGGCAGTTACATAGCATAAACAAAGCGCAATGCAATGCAACTTTATGGCAATTTAAATTAGCTTTGCAGTATTCTTTAAAACAGCTTTTCCAGAAGTCTTCACTTTTCCGAAGTCACAAAGTACAAACGCTCCCAACACTAACAAATACTTGATTTTGAACCTTTCAAAAGTCAGTTACGATTATCCACTATTTTTAGAAAGCAACTGGGGGTTTACCGCTTTAAAACACAAGATTTCGTATTTTACTTGTACAGGCTGGAGCGGGATTAAAATCAAGAAGTATGGAAATTGTATAGCCAAAGATTCCACAAACTAGAGAGAAAAAACATTCAACAGAAAGAGGAGGAAAAGCTGCATCGAATGACTTATTAGTTGTGCGTCGTTTCATGTTCTATGGCTCTTGACATCACCCAAAGTAAAATTCGAAACATCAGAAAAATAATTCCAATTTTTAAAGTCTAGCTATAGATGCCGAAATGTATTACATTGCACTTTGTTCACTCTATCTATCTGTTATTGATGCATTTCTGGAGGTCAAAAATGAAGAGTATGAAAATTGCCAAACTTACACATGGTAAAAACCATGGATTAAAAATTTTGGCGATTAACTCAATGACCACAAGAGCAAGCGCCACAGATTATGACAAAAAGGGGAAGAAAAGCTGCGTTGGGTACTGCTATCTTCGTTCCACATGTTTTCATAATAGGTTGAAAAAACGGAAAGAACTTTGGAACCGACCTAATAGTTTGATGGTTGTTTAAAGCATCATGGTTTAAGCAAATAGGGGCTAGTGCTTTGTATCAAGTGCAAAAAGAAGGTAAGCAAACGACAAGGGAAGGGGGAGAGGTATTGAGACAAAACTTGGGGGAGAGGGGTCGTCTACAGCGGTTGTATGCCATACTTGCTCGACCCTGATGGTACGCTTGTTTGAATTACTTGTTTTTCGCCTTCAAATTCCTCCCGTTCGACGAATTTGTCCGCGGTATTCTGACGCGGCAAGAATAGACTTTTAGATAGATCCTTGAAACTTCTGAAATTCTATGATTTCTAAGAAGCTGCACGCTGTTGCAGCCCTTAAAAAACTCTATTGCGAGAAGAAGCACTTGGTGTTACCACGTTTACCAACTAAATAGCATGTCGTGTTCTGCAACGTGTTTGATTGTTTCATTTCATTAGTTAGTTTCACTTTTGTTCTTTTGAACATCGCCAGTGGCATCATTCGGCTGTACGTATACAGTCGAATCATTTCATATGATCATGTGTGTCATTGCACGCACAGTCCACCTTTTGGCGTCTCCATCCTGGATTCTTGGAGGAAACAACCCTTCAGGTAAGTATTTTCAATGTGTTCTTGATTTCTTCAGGCACTAATCACCTCAAGTTGATGTAATTGATAAAAATCGGTAAGTCTCCTGCGTTTTTGCGATTGCGATTCCAGGATGAGGATGCCAAAGGTGGATGTGTGTGCAATGATACACATGATCTTAGGGAATGATTCGACTGTTTTTTGCTGCCAATAAATCTATTATTCGACGCACGTGACCCACTCCACCCATAGAAGGACAGAAGTCTTTCGGAACGAAAAATGAATGCAGAATTTAGGTAAAATTGATTATTACAATCTTTCCAGCGCTCAGATAAAGCAATGTCAAGTATTACCATATTAAATAAAATGTATCCATTGCATAAACAGCTCTGATACTTGACACTGGACCATTTGAGCAATTTTGGGCGATTTTGCTTCAGTTTTGCGTTCAATTTTTTGACCTGAAAAACGAGCATAACTCGGCGTCCAGAGGCACTTGGCAGATTTGGAAAGCAGATTTGGAATCACCGCTTAATACTCTTCAAAGCAGAATGGGTCTCATTTGGAAAGGCCATTTCGACTCGACACGGTTCCCTTGTTAGCTTTCGCCGTAGTTAGAGACAGTCAAGAAGGATGGACGCTAGAAAAGACGTATCAAGGCGCAAAAGAGAGACCATCAAATTTCGCGCACGAATTTGCCCTCAATTCCACTTTCCTGATTGAAACATGCTTTATTTTGGGATTCTCAGCACGAGATTGCGATCTTATCTGAACGTTGGTGTAATATCTGTAACACGTATTTGCGCTACATCTGTCTCTCGTGAGGTTGAAACTTACTAAAAATATTGTGAAATTATAGAGTTGTGCTGATCGAGCTTGGCATTTGCTGATATATTTCTAAAGAGTTACTCCGAACGTTGTTTCACCTATGGAAGAGATTAAGAAAACTCAAGAGTACGTGATGTTATGTGTTATGGAAAATCTTTGCATCTATACACATGACCACTTTTCCTAATATTAAGAAAGAGCAAACGAGCAGATCTTCAAGGTCTCAGAGGATTAGCAATTATTCTTGTGCTTTTGATGCACTTAAATCCAAAATCATGTCGTTTGGCATTCGTTGGCGTAGACATGTAAGTTTTATAATCTGTACCTTTGCTCGACAATTGTAATAGATTTAGCTTTTTCGTGCTGTCTGGATATCTCATGACGAAAATTCTTCTTGGAAAAACTTTTTCGCTATCATCTATTTGGATTTTCTACTGTCGAAGATTCAAGCGCATTGTTCCTCTATACTTGATAGTAATACTTATTACTTATATATGTAAGCGCTTCTTCTGATTATGAAGTTACAGGATGCACCCGAAAATGTACCGAATGCTTGATTGCTGATATTCTTCCACAACTTTCAAACAGCCGGAAGCTAGCTGTAACTTGTAGGGGTTGACTTCATTGTTGTAGAATTACGTTGGGAACTTTCAGCACGCCGTGATAAACTGACTGACTTCCAGAAAATTTTCAAGAGGCTCAAGAGGTTTAGTTGTGGACTTTTGGACAAGCTGATATCAAGAGCATACTTTGTACGATTTTGGGCTGTTCAAATGACATAATCTAAATTTTTAAGAAGACTTAAAAAATAGCCTTACCGCTTTGTGGAGTAAATAACAATCGAGAAACTACTGCGGAACTCAAATCTCATTTCCATAAACAGCTGCTCAGATCTAGTCGGTAGTATATTTCAGCTGTTTTAATCAAATTTGGCATTCCAATTCAAAGGAGAGCTCAGCGAGAGGTAGAAGCAAAATTCTATTGTGACGAAATCTCATTTATTTCGCATAGAAACATATCTTATGACTACTTACAAAAGAAGTGTCAGAAATCGCTGTGACTTTTTGACATGAGATAAGTATCTTTCGAAGCAGCTTGAAACGCTAATTCCAAAACAGCTTTTTTTAGCTGCAAAACTAGTCTAGATCAGTTAGGGGATTTCAAACACCAAATCTTGCCTTGTTAGAGTATTCTATGAGCACGAAAATCATAAGTTCCAATGCATGTTTAGGCAGTACAGCATAACACAGAGGAAGGAGTAGAATTACATTGGGCATAGATAAACCCTTTCATCAGTAGCTTGGTTGTCCTCTTTTCTTTTCTTTAAACCTCGGCATTACAATGATGTAGTTCTATTTGTTAGTTGTGCTAGCACGAGGTTTCGGCGAAGCTTTATTAATTTCATCGGTATTTAAGCCCAATATATACAGGCTTTAATGGTTTTGGCTACACTCGTTATAAATTTTTGCAGATCAAATTCAGAAACTCCCGATCCGGTTTCGTTCTGAACTTATGAAGGCTGTTTGGAATCAGCATCTCAAGCTGCTTCAGACGTTATCTATTTTACGTCAAAAGACCACTGCGACTTCTGACACTTACTTTGTTGGAAGGGAGATAAAAAAAGAAAAACAAATCTTCAAGTCTAGTCACGAAAAAAAGAACCCACAATAAACAGATTTCCATGCAGATTTTCATATATCCCAAATTAGCGCATGCTGTCGAGCGCGCACACCGCGTGCTTAAAGCAAATTTGTCGTCGTCTTTTTGATTTTTGGGTTATCGTGAAGCAGAGGAGAGAGGAATGAGGCAATTAAGACAAGATCATGGTATTTACATAAACAAAATCTAACCGTACTGAAGCTCGAAACTGCGATAAACTTGATTGTGTTAGGTTGATGCAAATAATGAGCTTTTTTGAATTTTCATTTTTACTAGCTATAACTTTCTATAAAATCTAAATTTTTGAATTTGGCAAATACCTTAGAAGCACGAACCCTTCGCAACATAGCGCACATTAACCTGTACTCATATCTCACATATAAAAAAATATGGATTGAAGAACAAAAAAAATTTCTTTTGGTGTCTTGTTTTTGACGAAACCCTTCACAGTTTGTTGATAGTATTTATGAGGCAACTTATCTTGTATCCGCAAGCCAGTAGTATAAGCAAGCATGTAAAGGGCTTGAAGGAAAAAGATTGTCGAAAAGGAAAAAGAAAATTGAAAAATATCAACTTCTCAGCATTTTTTCAGTAGGCCTAAAAGTCCCGAATCATGGAGTTTTCCGATTTGCTGCAAACTGAACAGCTAAATGTCTTTGCTAAAACAGTCAACAGGATGCCCTTCCCTCACGCTTATAGAAATGAGCGAACTTCTGGCGATTGCATTCTAAAGAAGGAGGTTACGGGCTAGAATGACTACAACCATTACCCACGTTAAGGCGCCGATATCTCAGTTTAGACAACTTCAGGAAATATGGCAAAGTGCATTATGTATTTCTATTAAATTTAGTTGCTAAATCTACGAAGAAGCGCTTTCATTTGCGCTGAAATTTTGGCCAGAAAAGTGAATGCAGCAATAATCTGGTTTTGGGTGCGGTCATTTGATGCTCTAGAAATCTTAACAGACTAAGCTAGAAGTCCGTTTCAAACATCGTTAGATAGAGCTTGAAAAGAACTTTTTGCGTATTGAATCTGTTCCAAAGAAAGAAGTTTGGTGTATAGAAGATTTGCTGAAAAAAAATCTCCTAGGAAAACGCTTATTAACGTTGCATCAACCTAATATATATTACATATGCCAACAGCGGTCCCGAAAGTTTTGCTTGGAGGTGGGAGGAGAGGCGACAAAATTTGTCGATAATGAGCATGGAGTTGATAGCCCTCCCGTCTTAAATAATTCAAATTGTAGAATTCTTTGTAATTCTCTCTAGCAAATCATTGACCAGTAAAAATGTAATCTCCTTTGCTCGCTTTTCCACAAGACAATCTTCAGCCTGCCCTTGCTAACAGTGTCGGACCCCCCTCATTGTTAGCGCCATGAAACCCTCGCAAAATCTCCTACCTCGCATAATGAAGACTAGTCGATAATCCGTTTTGTATCGCAAATCTAAGTTGAAGTCAGCATATAATACAGTGCTGACTAAAAAGTTTGCAGCCACTGAAAAATAGCTATATTTTCTTTTTTATTTTACTCAAACCAAATGATAATATCATGTGGTTAGTGGTCATGTGGTCAAATCAGGCGTACCCAGGATTTCGGCTCGGGGAGGGGGGGGGGGGGTGGCGACAAAAATGCGTGGCTGACGCCACGCTTCCGAAAAAAATTTTTTTACAAGTCTAATTTGTATTTTTTAAAATTTTCAAAAATTATTTTAATTATTTACAAGTAACGACAAGTCCTTTACACATTTTTATAACACACTAGCTGGCTTACCCGGCTCCGCCGTATCCGGACCAAACTTGGCACACATACACTTCGGGCCCCGGCGGGTGTCACAGTCCACTTTTCGCGTTATCGATCGATGTCAATTTTACCGATTTTTATCGATTTTTTTGCAGAGTTCACCTACAGGGCTAGGAGTTGGCACAGGGGGGGAAGTAAGCATGGGGATTCCGAATACAATATTAGTTTTCAGAATTACCGATTACTTTTATTGATTTTATCGATTTTTTGTAAATTTTGACATGCGAGGCTGGGATTTTGCACGGGGGGTAATCGAGCATGCTGATTACGAACACAATATTAGTTTTCAGGATCGTCCATTACTTTTATCGATTTTATCGATTTTTTTGTAAAGTCTGACCTGCGGGGCTGGGAGTTTGCACAGGGGGGTAATCGAGCATGCAGATTACGCCCCCCTGTGCCAACTCCCAGCCCCGTAGGCGAACTCAGCAAAAAAATCGATAAAAATCGATAAAATCGATATCGATCGATGACGAAAAGTAGCCTATGACACGCGCCGGGGCCCGAAGTGTATGTGTGCCAAGTTTAGTCCGGATCGGTTCAGAAATGGAATTTTCTATTCGGAACATACGTACAGACAGACATACATACAGACAGACAGACAGACAGACAGACATACAGACAGACAAACAGACATTCAGCTTTATATATAAGATTTAAGTAACTTTCAAAAATTTCGCGACCCATTCTCGGGGGGGGGGCGCCCCCCCCCCCCCTCCTCCCCTCGGTACGCCACTGGTGCAAATCACTCTACAGTACACACACTAATCATTCGACAGAAAACGCAAAAACCGACCCGCTTTTTTTCGTTTTTTCTCCATAACTTTCTGGATGCATAAATTATGAATCCAAAGAAAGTGTATGATGTTCAGCTCGTCAAGATGAATCTTCTAATATCAATACTTATATAATATTTGGATAAGCATTTTTTTTATGACCGGCCTAAAATGTAAGAAAACTTCATTGAATTCAAACGAAACTTTGCACACATGAAGATCGGGGTGGGGCGGGTGTCACTAAGCTTTTTCACCGAAAATCACCAAGTGGCGCTATCGATTTATCGATTTTTTGCGTTTCTCGCTTAGCAAGTCCGTTATGACCGGCCTAAAATGTTAGAAAACTTGATTGAATTCAAATGAAACTTTGCACATATGAAGATTGGGGTGGGGCGGGTGTCACTAAGCTTTTTCACAGAAAATCACTCACTGGCGCTATCGATTTATCGATTTTTTCATGTTCTATTCTCTGTTGAGCTGAAAATGGCAGGAAGGGATAACTGAGCATGATTAATTTGATCAAAATATCTACAACTTTGACCACTAAACTTTTTTGCTTTTTTTGATTCTTTGTATGCGACATTCTGGAGACTAGCTGATATCCAACTATGCGTTGACCTTTCGCAACGGTTTCGTCGACTGATTAGCTCATCAACAAAATCAAAATGGTTCATCCACGAGATCAAATATGACCAACAAATCAATACGGTTCATTCATACCATGCCTTCATCGGTCGTACCTCCTTCGACTACTGTTATTACCGAGACCATGGCGCCGACAATGACCCCCTCCAGCAATGGACCGTCCCCCTCCATACCTCAGTCGCAGATGCGTATCGCCCAGAGAACCCGAGCCCGTACCGCAGCAAGGCGCACTTCTGAAGCCATGCGTAGCCGCCTTCGTCGTAGCCGAGAAACACCAGAAGAACGAGAACGGCGTCTTGCCTCAATGCGTGAACGTCATCTTCGTCGACGGCAACAGGAACCACAGCTCAACGGACACCTTCAGGAGACACTGGATCAATCCAGGCATGGTGCGAGCCCAGAACGGGTTGGCCAACGAGGATACGAGCCAATCAACGAGAACACAGCACAAACGATCTCTACGCTTGACTCGCAGCAACAAGTAATGTTTGAACTGGCACCTACCTCCACTTCCAGTTCGCAGATCACATTGCGCAGAGAACTCGAGCACGTGGCGCAAGGCGGAGATCTTGAAGAGCGACTTATCAAGAACAATATCAACATTGCTAATTCAAC